GGTGACCGAATTCAAGACTCTGTAGTCGACACAAAAACGCCAATCGCCCTCAGCCTTAGCTACCAACAGTGCAGGTGAAGAGAAATGGCTAAAACTTGGTTGAATGATACCGGTGGATAACATGTCAACCACCTGCCGTTCAAGTTCCGCTTTCTGGGCATGACTATAGCGGTAAGGGCGCACATTCACAGGTCCGGTGCCTGGAAGGAGAGGGATCTGATGGTCAAATGCCCTATGAGGTGGCAAGGTGGTGGGTGGCTCAAATAGGTCCGAGTATCGCAAAAGCAGTGCTTGGAGTATTGCCGGTAGTGGAGAGGAAGGCAGGGAACCCGGAGGAACACTGGATAGTTGAGCCACAATCTGAGGGGGAATGCCAAAAGGGGCGTCTAATGCCGCCAAAGTGGCGCATGAACTTGGAGGAGGTGTGGAAGATCCCACGAGACGATAGTTTGTTCCATTTATCATGAATTCCATGACCTTGAGGAGGAAGTTCCAACCAATAAGGCCCAAGGTTTCTAACCAATCAATCCCCAAAAGCATGTTGCAGCCGGCGACGGTGAGGAGGTGAAAGTCCCCTCAGAATGCATACCCTTGAATCAGTACTGAGACTTGGGGAGCGACACCCTTCGTACGAAAGTAACGACTGGTTGCTACCATGACCAGCTCATAACGAGAAGAATCTGTGTGAAGGCCCAATCTGGCAGCTACTTGAGGGTTAAGAAAACTTTGATCCGCCCCGGAATCAATAAACACCTGAATCGGGATGTTGAGAATAGACCCTTGCAAACGCATCGCCCGCCCGCGAGAGCGCTTCGTGGCCGAAATGGCATGGAGTGCAATAGGGTGGTCAGGCTGCTCCACCAAAATCGGCTCTAGCGGTGGGATTGGTGCCACCTCTTGGAATGGGTCAGTAAAATCATCCTCCCCAAGGAGGAGTAGAATATGGGACTGTCAACAACGATGGCCTGGCCGAAACTGGTCATCACAATTAAAACAGAGCCCTTGTTCCTTGCGTGTCCGCATCTCCGCTTGGGTGAGTTGGAGAACTGGTTTAGAAGGTGGTTGGGTAGGGGCAGGTGGAGTGGGGCGTGGAGGATGAGGGAAAACTGTTGAAGGTGCTGGTGTCAGTAGGTGAAGTTTAGAGAGATTGGGAGATGGACGGGAAAACCCACTGCGAGTCGACGAACGGCGCCCATTTTTATGTTCATAAAGACAAGCGAGTTCAATAGCCCGGACAAGGGACGTAGGCCGTTGGGCTACCACGTCATCCTGCAAGTCCTCTTTGAGTCCGCCCAAAAACGCCCCTAAGAGCTGCTCATCAGACTAATCTGGAGTACAACATGAAAGCCGGATAAACTGGCCGACATAGGTCTCGACCGACTCCGTTTGAGTGATGTGGGAGAGAGCCATGTGGAAATTCAATCTTTAACTGTTTTGGTCCCGCCATTGAGGGGGAAGGGTTGGGTAAGGGTGGGGTGAAATAGGGGCCCTGGTGTGGTGTGGGATGGGGGTAGTGAAGGGGGGAAAGTGGGCAGAGTCCAACGGATGCAAGATTGAGTCGCCGGAGTGTGGGGGTATGAGACGAGAGTTGGGGGAATGACTAAGGAGAGTTGAAGAAGTGTGAGGTAAGGAGGAAGGACCCGCGACCAAGTGGGACCACGCGAGGTGGTTTGTAGGGAGGGTTTGGGAGTGTGGAGAACTCCAGGTTGGTTGGGGAAGAGGGGTGGGGATGGTCGCAAAAGGAGGGGAGCCCAGGGAAATGGGAATGGACCCGATGGGAATCTGAGACTTGTTTTGGGAAGGGGGTGGGGTTCTGAGAGTACGAAGTTCCTCAAGGATTGTCTATTGAAATTTCTCTTGCTGGGCTCGGTCGACCGTCATCTCGGCAAGCGTGTGCTGCAGATCAATGAGATGGTGCTGTAGATCATCTTGGCGGACATTCATCAGTGTGCCTGTCTCATGGAACTCATGGAGTTGCGAGATGATTTGTTGTTGCTGAAACTCTCTGTCGAGTTCCGAGTCGGAAACGTCAGCCACCGTGACCGATGCCTTGCTCTTGCCCATGGAAGCCGCCTGGGCTCTGATACCAAATGTTAGGGTCCCAGTTACAAGTCAGGAAGGAAATGAGAAAGGATAAGGGAAAAGAAGAAATTAAAGACTATTTTCATTCATTGCTTCTCAACTTCATTACAAAAGAGGGATTTATATCCATTCAACACAATAGACAAAATATCTCATAAGCTGAGTCATCACCTAACACCCATTTACTACTGTACTAAGGATAATAACGTTACATCGAGGGCCTACATAGTAAGGACCTAACATTAAGACCCGCTGGAGTCGCGCCATTCTCACTAGCCGCCTTAAAATCAAGTTTCGTCAGCATAAATGGCAGAGATCTGCAGCGGCATCGAGGACCTGGTCGACCCGGCCCAAGAAACCCAAGTTCAGTGTCCACCGGCTGAAAAGGAAAGGCTTGCCGGAGTGAGATGAGGATGATGAAAACGAGAAGCGGGGGTGGGATCTGGGTTTGGGGAAGACGGGAGTGGGATAAGGGGTGGGTCCCTTATGCAAAATAATAATAATAATAATAATAATTTTATTTTTAATTTTTTTTAATATTTAATTAATTTTTAATAGAGAGTGGGCCCCGTCTCAAGCTACATCACTATTTAACAGAAGAATTGACAAACAAACCTACAGCAGGTATGAAATTGTAAAAAATTCGTAGATAAGGTATGACATTGAAATTTTTTTAAGATGGGGTATGCAATTGCGACCCAATATTTGAGGTAGTTTTATATAATCTATAATCTACCCTTTATTTATTTATAAAAATCAATAATTAATAATAAAAAATTAATAATTTGGTTGTTAAATGATGATGTGGGAAGGAGTGGGCCCCGTTCCTGCCACATCATCATTTAACAACCAAATTGACAGAAAACTTAAAGAAGGCATGACATTGCAATGAATTCATAAGTTGAGATATGACATTGCAATGTTTAAAACATGAGGTATGAAATTGTGGTTCAACCCATAATTGAGGTAGTTTTATATAATTTACCCTAAAGTTTTTCTTTTACATTCTCTTACATCATTAATACAAGACATTATCATAACGGTGTAGGCGTATCATAAAGTTCCTCTCGTGAATATGGGAGCATTACCTTATTATTGAAGCCAACTTACTAAAACCGTGTGGGGGCCGGCAAAGCAAGCACTACAGCTAAAAAGAGCAGGAGAAAAAAAGAGGAATCATCACCAGGAAACTGGATAAAGAACTAAAGCGTGGCAAAAACTCGACAAAAGCATTCTAACACTTCAAATTTAGGTAACAAAAGACAGGTCTGCATACCCAACAAGAACTCTACTTCTTTCAGCTTTCTAAAACACCCAAGTTATTAGTTAGAATGTGTCGGACTATAATTTGTAGACGTGTCTTTTGTTGACTAAAGCCACATACTAGTTAGTATGCCGCATCATAGTCCAACACATATTAACACTTTGAGTTTAGGCAACAAAAGACACGTCTGAAAATTATAGTCTAATGCATACTAACTATTAACTACTAAGCTTTTTGATACACCCAAGTTCAATTTGATAAGAACTCTACTTCTTTCAGCTGCAAATCATAATTTGACACAAATAATATTGTCTAATTGTATTAATAGTTTATGTAATTTACTCGGATTTTCACTTTGTAGTTTGTTGGATTACTCATTTTTCGTCTTTGTAGTTTCGTTTTGTTTTCACACTTTAGCTCAATCCTTCAACTAGGTTGATTATTCACTCAATTTGGTAGACATCTTCTCATATGAAAAGCCCAAGTTGGAAGGAATATTGTCTCATTTGACGGATGGACTTGCGGTGGTAACTGAATGAAACTAGAACGACGAAAGTGCAACAACAAAAAAGTTACACGAACGTACGTGAAAATCCGAGTAAACTAGATGGATTATTAATGCAATTCAGCAAAATAAAAAAATCTCGTTAAAAACACCAGACATAAAGTTTATGCACACACATCAAACTCTAATTCGCCTGGACTAGTCCCCACTCTTCCCACCGGTTTTACTCTCGAGTCGAATATCCGTGATCCGTATAGATTTCGAAGCAGCTTTGCACATATCATAGACTGTTAGGCCAGCAACACTCACTGCTGTCATTGCTTCCATTTCAACTCCAATTTTCCCTGTTGAACTCGCTTCTGCTTCAATGTCCGCTTCTAGGTTGTAAGCACGTACCTGAGATTAGGGATGGGCAATGGTTATGGCGGACGGGTAACCACGGTTATTTACCCATAACCGTTTATATTCATACCCGCATAACCATTTTCAGGTTGAGACTGAGAGGAAGAACGCAGTCTTCGATGGCCTTTGCTAAATGGGCATCACGAAATGGCCCAAGAGAAGACAACTACTGATTCTTTCAGGCCGAAGTACAATTGTTTTTATTTTTTACAATGTTATTGGCATTTTAAAGATTTTATTGTACACTTCTCATACAATTAATGTATAAAAATGTTAAGACCTTTCATTTACAAATGAAGACGAATATTATTAAACCATAGTATTAAGTAACAATCGAATGAAGCTTTTACAAAGGCATAGTTGCGCCTCAAATTCATGTAATTTGTTTTGTTGCTTTGTCGTGCAACCTTCTCATTTGAAAAATCGAAATCGAAATGAATCTGACCTTATTTTATAAATTTGGATTACGAACAAAAAAAACAAATCCTCAAAATTATAAGAAAACTTTAATTCAGCTGCAATGTCAAGAAACTAAGGAATGCAGACTTGCATCCATGTCCAAAGCCCAAAAGCACAGATTAATTTATAATATAATCTTCATGCAGATTTAGGAAATGAAAAACTAATAAAAATGACTTAAAATTTTTTAATTTTGACGATAAGATAAAAACAAAATAAAGGGTAAAATGAATAGTACCAAAATCAAATTTTTATTATAAAAATGTGATTTTTCATTAAAGTGAACAGTACCGAAAGTTTTTCGTTAAAGTTCCCTTTAGGAAATGGAACACTGAACAGTATCGGAAGCTTTTCGTTAAAATTTTCCTTAGGAAATGGAACACTTACAAATCCAAAAAGTTCTTTTCATGTATGAATCAGCAAACGTCTCATAAGACAGCATACATTAACTTCGGTGTTAGTTTTCATGAGATCATACAAAAACAGAGGTCAAAAGGCCTTTGAATTTGCTGTAGTCTGCAGACTAAGAAGCTTTTGTGGTGCTAGCACAACCGGTTGCTCCTACTCTTCATTTTTCGAAGGGGCCGATGTACTACAAGAAGGCCATACCGTTCGTTAGTCGATTATAACAAAACTTACAAGAATAGAACATAAATCTTTAAGGAAGAACTAGTTAATCAATTTAGAACAGGCAAATCAAATAGAACACAATTCAAAGTCAGAGGTATGTTCATCACTAGAAAATTTTGATAAACTCTGGAACTTCCAAGGAGAAAAATGTGTCATAACATGGTAGAGAAACAGTCTAGTTAAAAGAGGAGACGTACAAGAAGTTCGCTAAAGATGAGGCGTATAAAAAGTTCGCTAAAGATGAGATGTATAAAAGCAGTCATGAAGTTTGAACACATGCGATCTTTTAACTGGACTGTTTATCAACTCAACATTGTCCATGGCGACCAAACACAAGTTTTTCTGCCAACACCTTAACATCATACGGTTGAAAGGCTATTACAAATCACAGCATCTGAATTTGAGACCAAAAAATAAAATTGGCTCTGAAACTGGGAGCTGATTTCTACACACCCTTTTTTTATTTCTGGCCATCGAATTGGTTAAAACAAACAGAAAAATGGGACAAGAAGATTAAACAAAGCTGTGTAAGAGGAGAAAAAGGGTGTGTGTTCATCATTTCCCTTGAAAGTATGAGCATTGAAAACAATGGGACTGAAATTTAGGTGCAAAATATCATTAAAGTGAGTATACTTACAATGGCAAAGTTTCGGCGCATATGCAGCTCAATGTGTAAATTTCATGATGTGTTTGTGTTTGATTGCCACCATATGCTCCCATTCGTTGTCTAGTGTGGATACTTTCCATTTTGGCTTCTTAAATAATAACGTAGTTTGGTTTTGAGGATTGTATTGAATAACCCGCTAGATTCCAATTTATGTTAAAAATGAATGGATGCAACTCCCAAACTTCGTCCAATTTGAAGGTAGAAGATGGATTAGTTATGAAGGAAACTTATTCCTCTGAGTGCTACCACATCCATTACTTCCTTCAACATCCAGTGAATCTAGTGAGTTATCCAATCCAATCCAACCTTAGACAACGAGGCCAATCTTTCTTGCCTTCGGTGTAATTGTCAATATATTGTTGTGGGCTTCAAAACAAAGGTTGTTCGCGAAGCAACTCCAACATTGTCAATGAAGCCTCCACACCACAACTGCAACCCTTCGAACGTGCACTTCAATAGACACATGGCACAACCAAACAATCGTTTGGCTGCTAGGCCTGTTCTTAAATAGTTTGTTGTAAAACCGCTAAAAGCCAAAAGCTTAGACAATTAGGAATGAGTCAACAATGTATGTCAAGCCAACACCCACCTTCACGTGGTTCTTTGTGTGCAGCTCCACCCTACAACACATGCACATGCAAACAAGCGCAAACATAGAAAAGCATATAGTTGAAGAAGAGCACCTTGCAAATTGGCAAACAAGTGAGGAACATCGTTTAGAGATTTCGAACCCAAAACCTCTTGCAATCAAAGCTCTAGATGAAGAAACTCGAGTTGATACGATGAGTTTGGATGGAGAAAACAAATATGGAATTGGAACAAAAGTTTCCTTTTATTGAGGGATCCTTTGAAGGACTCCTTGAGGGAACCACTATGGATGATCAAAACCGTCTATTTTTTAGGTATTCCCTCAAAGATCATCTTGCAAAAAATCAGACAAATTAGAAACATGATACAACTCCAACCGCGCAAAAGTGCTTTTGGAACACACAAAAGGTTGCACCGAAGGAGCACTTGGGGCTCGTGTAGGACTACTACATGAAGCACTTTTGCCCATAAGCAGTTTCGTTAGAAGTGTTTTAGTATGAAGATATCAAAAATTTAGTAAAAACCCAAGAGCACATAACCCAAAACTGCTTTTAATATTTTCTCGAAATGTGGTTCAAAAGCATTTTTGGTTGTTAGAAAGAACTTTCAGCCCTTCTCGAAGCAATCCCACAGACACCTTAAATTTGGCAAATATGTGAAATACAAGAAACGATATATTTACATTACGAAGTGGGGATCTGAGCTATAAGCCACACAATAGGCAGCCATAATAATTCGGCATCGAAATTTCGTTTACGAAAGTCGAACCTAAGACCTCCCACTTAAAATTTGAAAGAAACACTAGTAGTGTCACCTACAACTACTAACTTGTACGTGCCCATCTAATAAAAAGTTTTCTACATTACCTATGATATGCTTGTACTCACCAGCTTCTTCCATCTTAATAGGACTAAATTCATGTGCTGTTTTAATTTCTATTTTACTCGAAATATTAACAATTCCTTACAGAAAAGTCTTTGAGAAAGATAATAAAATGATCACATATTCTCCTCTAGGAGATGCAAAAAATTCTTAATGCAAGAGAATTTCTTCACCAATTTACGCCCTTACTCAGTAGGATGGTGTTATGATCCCTTAATTTTGTTCTTTCATTTGTTGTAGATGGGCCATTATCCAGCAGAATGTTATATCTCATGCACTCAAACACAAGCATGTGTCTTTAATTCTTAAGAGTGACCACTTCATACCAACCATTTGGTGGAGAGCATGAACACAATCTCTCACCAGAAAGATTAGGGGAGATGTTTCACGTTCCAACCTTAATTAAGCAAATCATGATATAATATTCCTTTGGCATACACCAAATAATATATATATACCATGAATAATGCAGCAAACTACTCACCAAGGACCAGCCAAGATCTAATTCAAAACTTAGAACAACTATTAGACTCGAGAAGTAATCAAGCCAAGGGTCTTATCTGAGGTGTTTGTAGAGGAGCGTAAAGGATAAGACATAGGTAGGTCTCTGGTCTAAATTTTCCTATTGGGGAAAAAGGGAACTGAAAGTTAAGAAGCTAGGTCAAATATTCATGTTTTCCAAAAAAGTTCATTAATAATTTTTTCCTCATCTCCACAGTGAGCGTAGGATAACTATTTATGTGTGTTTTCCTTCATGAGCCTAGCAAACATGTTAGAAAAGCAAGAATATTTGTGTGCGCCCACTCGCACAACACACAATGTGAAACCAACATGTCACACCTTAATAAAGGGAGGTAAGATGCTAACCACGACTGAAATCTCAGCAACACATATAAAGAGAAAACAAAAGAAAAGAAAAATAATCTTACTTGAGCCCTGACATCAGTTTTTTGGTTTCTCTTACAGCTGAACTTACAGCATAGAGTGTCATCTTTTTCACCTGTTAAAACAAGGAAAGAAAAACCAACAGATCTTATGAGACAATTGCAGAGGTGTGAGCTGAAGCAAATCTTCAGAGAGAAGAATTGTGCGGCTGATCAGTTGGCAAATTGGAGCTATGACATGGATCTAGGTCTTCACGTTTGATGAGCCTCCTGCCTGGATTGGAATGACTCTTATGCATGATATTTTTAGGATTGTTAAGACTCGTCGTGTCTTTTACTGATTTGAGCTTATGTATTTGGGTTGGTACCCCGTTATTTATAAATTAAAAAGAAAATAAGACAAACCAATAGAACCTAAGAGGTAAAATGAGGTAGTCACGCAATCTGGCCTATGTGATAGACGCCCACCAACCTAAATTAAATACTTGACACGCTATATCTGATGGTGTAGTTAAGGTGAATTTGAGTAGTAAATATTGAATGCCTAATATCTCCTAATAATTTGAGTCTAATACGAGTTTTCTTTTAGAAGGAATTTTATATGAGTTAACCGGTGGATAATTTACAGTGTCAACTAAGTGGACTAAAACTAGATAGCTCTTCCACATGTGCCGAGTGTTTTCTTCTACTGTGCAAATGATGTGACAGTTAGCAGAAAAAATGTATTTATGTATTTAATTTCTTTTAGTATTTTACCCTTCTTAAGTCAGATTACTTTTAACAATTTTATTCTAGCAGGGCATATTTGAAATTTCAAAATTTACACAGAAACTGAAACTTCTCCCTTTATAGTAGTATAGGTAAAACAAATGCACGAAATTTGAAACTCTGGATTATGTCCCGCAATCCTCATGAAACCTCAGTAAGAAAAGACCAGCACAGTCTTGCATTTGGCAGCCTCCTTAACAGTATTCTACAGTTACTACTAAATAAACAATACTTAAAATTACAAAATCTATAATGCAATGAAAGACATGACAGTAAATTGAGATACCTCCAATTTGTCTTCCTTGGCTCTATGGTTTTTTGGGAGCAAACGAAACTCTTCAGTCAGTCGAAGACATTCTTCAAGACTTTCAGGAGATACAAAGTCAAGTGCTACCTTTATACAAGACTGACAGGAACATTGAAGGTTAGGACAAACCCATAACTTTTTCTGTACGTAGAACAGAAATGTGTAACTTCCTAAAATGAATAATTCATTCAGATGTATTAGTAATTACTTGTGTATTTCTAACTTGATGAGGACATCCTGTGGGAATAAAAACTGCCTCACCAAGGTATTGTTTAAATGTCCAAGGCTCCACATCTGCATATAAAATCACACATTAACTATATTGTAGAAGAACACTGCAACTTATCAAGACCAATTGAAGGAAAAACAAGATAAGATTCTTACTGAATTCCTCCTTTAGTTGTTTCTTATGTCTCTCATTCAAGTAAAGGGTCTGATCATGAATAGGATGAACCACCTGAGACGACGTGCACAACACATGTAAAGGAACCCTAATGTAATTTGTTCGTATGGCATAGTGAACAAATACTCGCATCGAAACTTACTGAATCTACAGGATGATTATTAATGTGGCGAAATTCTTTCTTTTGTTTTTCCAAGTATTCCCTTAACTTGGGGACATCCTGGCGGCGAAAGATGTCCCAAACAGCACCACCTTGGGCAACATCCAAACTGTCATTACTTTCAAGAGAATCCTTTGTTTTTGTCAGGTTTGACTCTTTCACGTTCATATCATGAACCGCATCATTTCCTGGAAACAAAGCCACAGAAGTATCTTTCCCACCAGATCTCTCAATCATCATGTCCGTGGAACATTGAGCATGTTCTTGCTCTGCTTCAACTCCATTTGCATGAGGCAAGGTGGTTTTTATCAATTCATTCCTCTGATGGTCAAGAGTTGGAAACTTTAATTTATGTATTTCAGAAGTATCAGGAGGTTCTGGAACATGCTCAGTTTTATCATATTCAACAGTATCATCTAAATACTTGGAATCTGACAACTGAGAAATCCTAAATGATTGTTCGTCAACCATTTTTCTTTTCTTCCCATCTTTCTGCATTAGATGATCATTATCCACAATGTTCTCATTTTCAGTACATTCAGCACCCATGATCTGGATTTCGGAAGATTTGTTTGATGATTTTCCTCCAACTGTCCCCTTATCCTCATCTCTTTCATTGTACAGTTCACGCAAGTCTTCAGCTTCATGCTTCCTCTGCAAAGCCTTTATCTTTTTGTGCTGCCAAGGAGCGATCTTCACTCTTGTTGTGTGAGTCAGAACATTTACCTATGCAAATCAAATAACTGTTGTCAACCCTTTGTAACTAAAATATATAATTCAATAAAACTTAATAGATGGAGAAAGACTGTAGACCATAGTCAATGAAAATTGAGGTACAATTACAACTTCAACTAATTAATCCCACCCCCAAGTTTCAATTCAGGTAGCATGTATAATGTAGTGTGGCATAAGAGTACTGTTAAGGCATGATGGGACGAATATTACATACTGAAACTGAATAGTTTTCGGGTCCACAAGGACCACAACTTCTCCAAGACATTACTAAGGCAACATAAGAAAGTCCAATGCCATGGAAATAGCCATGATATCACATAGTTTCGTGGAATGATGCTAACATCAGAATTAAGGCTTAAGCCAATGCCACAAAAGCACATATACATTGAAACATTAACTTCCAAGAGTATCTTTCTTCTTTTACCAAAACTATTCTTCCCTTGTAAAAGAACCATGCCTTTTGAGATAATTACAGAAATGATAACCACGCATAATTTTCTTGACAAAAGGCTCAACTGATATTTGTGCACCTTTACCACGCAAATGAGAGTACATTATTTTAAAACATACAAGGCACTATACAACATGGGTGGACATAAAATTGTGTCCTTAAGATCCCAAAACAGAAAAATATTAAGCAAGAGATGACCTACAAATCATAGTAAAAAATGAATCACCAAGATGATTAGAAGGATGATTTATAAAGAATGAGTAAGTGTCAATTTTTAAATAAATTCTAAATGATAACAGTGGAAAATTTACAAAATTTTGGATAACGAGGTCAATTATGTTGGACACATCAAGCAGAGGACAACAAAGTTATAGAATGAGCAAATCAAACTCTCTAAAACTTAAGCAAAGCTTTTGCACAGATAATAACAGACATACTAGTAGGAAAACATTACCGCATCAGACATATCACAGTGTAGCTTTGTCACTGAATCACCTCTGCCAAGTTCTTCAGAGAATCCATAGGCAATGTATGTTTTGGGTCCCATATCAGGTTTCAATGAATCTTCAGGAAGTTTTGTAGCAAGATTTAGACAACCCACTTCTGGATATTTTGGATCAGTATAGTCACTGAAAGGGAGTGCTGCAATAAATTCAGTGCAATGCCTTGGCAAACGCTCTTCAAATAAAGTTGATGAAGGCCAATCCTTCAATTTCAACATCTCAGGCCACCCACTTCTATGTAGACGACCCTCCAAGTAGCCCATGAAAAACTGGTGAATATTGATTTCCACCTGCACAAAAGTGAGGGTCAGGAGTTTTAATTCTCATAGAGATGTTTTAAGATTATTCTCATTATCTACAAGTAATTCAATTAGTTTTCTATAACTGACCTCACACCAATCAAAGCAGTCAAGGGCCTTCACACTTCGTGTCTCCTCTTTAAACTTTACATTGGCCCCCGTTTCTCTAAAAGCCCTCCACATGACCATAGGTTCCCAACTAAGACCAGATGTCTTGTCAAGAACATTTCTGACTATTACAGGTTCCCCATTTATCCAGTGCCTCTGAAAATGTTCAATTTCATCATCTGCAATGTCAATAGCATTCGGACAGTATAAGAAGTTATCATCACTGTTTTCCCTGAAAGCCGCCTGCCTCACTTCAGACTGTATATTATTATGTTCCTTGGAATCATTTGGCTGGCACAAGGAGCATCCTTGAGAAACATCGGTGTCTTGCATCTTGAAGTCAATAGTAAAATCCTCTGCATTTTTTAACAGTTGCATTACCCAATTAGCTTTACATTTGCGCCTCAGTTCCAGATTTACCTGGCCACAACCTCCACACTCTTTTGGAGGACAAGGAATGCTGTCATCAGGATTCGCTTTCCAATTAGGAAGAGAAAAAGGCACATCAGCTTTAGAATTATCAGAAGCAGAGGTAATCTGGCCCTCCCACACATGTCTTTTCCTTTTCATGTTAGTATTGCCTCTATTTTTCACTTGTTTATGAGCTCTTTCTACAGATTGTTGGTGAGATGTTTCTGCTTCACAACCTCCAGGTTGACAACCTTCCCTTAGCTCTTTGCAACAAGTGAGACAGAGATCATAGGAACAATCGGGGTTGGTGCAGCTTCTGTGGAAATCAACAATAGATGTAGAGCAATTGTCGCTGTCATATAAGACAACACACATGGTCATGAAAAGTTGAATTTTTTTTAATAGTAATGATGGTTGTACAAATAAAAACACAATGAACATTTTCTGCCTAAATAATGTGCATGATCTATGGGCTGCATATAGAAAAGAAAATGAAAGATGACACTAATCAAGAAAAAGGAAATTACTATATGTATGTATTATATGGGAACCCAGTCATGACATCACAACTTAGCTTTCTGCTTACTGAGAACAGGCAGGGATTCCAGATACACCATATCAACAATATTATATAGCTGGACCACTTTTTCCATTAATTTAAAATTGCTTATGGATCCTCAGAACCCATATATTGACACCCAAGCCCTCTCAATTCCTTAAAATCCTTTACTGTAGTATCATTGAAATGAAAGGAATTTAAACCAGGCAGTACAAATTCTTGTATCTAGAAGTTGCAAATTTACTATAGACAGACCGACAATAGGTATTCAACGCAGATGCTAAAAGAAATGTACTTCTCAGTTCAGTTGAAGGGAGCCTGGACATACCAGTAAATACGTTCTTTTGGGTCTATTTTAGTTCTTTGTATCCCCCCTTCAGTCAGTTGAACACCTACCAACGAAAAAGCCATATAATGAGATTACAAACAGTCCCCTTGCGGCCTTGCCAAGGAAGGAAAAAATAAACTGCATTTATTAGAATATCGTAATAGTTCACCTCGTATTTTGGACTCAATCTCTAGTTCAGAGCTCTGCTCCTTATGAATATACCTCAGAACAGGCAAAGTTTTATAGAGCAAGTACTTGAGCCGCTGTAATTTGACACTGGGTTCAACTTTTCTAGTGTGAGGCTGCCAAAACAATTATACCATATGGAGAAAAAGGAGAGAGACGTTAGACTAGAAACTTGCTAGTTTCAGATTAAAGTACAAAGAGACAAAGGAAAAAAGAACCAACTTTCACAATAAACGCACGCAAGCAAGCTTTGCAGTTGCAGTTGTGACAACAAAACGGGCATTTCTTCCCAATTTCCTCTCTCGTCTTCCCCGGGTACCTATCTCAACATTGTACAATGAAAAAACCAATGAACATCCTTATCATTTGAAACCAATACACCAAGATATAAAAACATTTTGCAATTACACAAAACGTGGAGAGAAATTTGAAAACTTGGTAAAGATGCAAAATTTAGAACTGGGTACTAACGAAAATCCAAACATTTGAAACCAATACATCAACAAATACAAAACTTACAATTATACAACACATGCAGAATTCAGTTTTAGAACTGGGTACAAATGCAAAATTTCGGAACCAGGTACTAATGAAAATCCTTATCATTTGAAAATTTGAAGCTAATACATCAACAAATCACAACAATCGCAATTATTCAACACATGCAGAGCTAAATTTTAGAAATGGGTACGAATCGAAATTAGACAAAATTACCAAAAAACAATGAACTCACTGAAATTAAAGTTTTCAACCATTCTAAATTTTTACTTACCATCTTTCAATGCACTCAAAGCAAAATCGCTTTGTACAATTAGAACAGAAGACAACGCCACTCTTGTCGTTCCGCTGACACTGGTGGCACATCAAGGACACGCGCTGCTCCGAATTTTTGCCAGGCTTTTCCTGCAACTTCAAGCTCTCCCGCTCCTCAGATTTTTTGCTAGACTTTTCCGGCACCTTCAAGCCCACGTGCTCCTCAGATTGTTTGCCAGGATTTTTTTGCAACTTCAAGCCCACGCGCCGATCCGATTTTCTGCTGGATTTTTCCTGCAACTTCAAGCATACGCGCTGCTCCGATTTCTTGCTAGACTGATCCTGCATCTTCGAGCTTGAACGCTCCTCCGATAGTTTGCTAGGTTTTTCCTGCAGCTTCAAGCTCGCACGCTGCTCCGATTTCTTGCATGACTTATCCTGCAGCTTCGAGCTCGCACGCTCCTCAGATTGTGTACTAGGTTTTTCCTGCAACTTCGAGCAAGCACGCTGCTCCGATTTTTTGCCAGATTTGTCCTGCAAAACGCAGAATCGAGAAGCCTCAATGCCGTTGATTCCAAGCAATTGAATTTTGAATATTTCAGAAGAAAAAAAAAGTTTAAATTTTGGATGTTTCACCTCTTTGGATCGACGATTCTTCGTTAGATTATCGGAACCGCTGTTTCCATCTGACTTTCCCGTCTTGGTTTTCTTATTCATAGCATTGTTTCTCTTCTGATCGTAGTGCTTTTGACAATAGGACTTCCCCTCCGCCGCCGTCTCGCTGCACCGCCACTTCTGGCCGTCGTTGCGCTTGCAGCGGCCCGGCGGTTCCATGGACGAAGGAATGATCTCGATGGGAAATCGACGGCTGTGATTGGTCTGGGAGGTACGGAACGCAACTGTGCTGAGCGTCAGATTTTTCCCGGTTGGGTAGGAAATGCCCGAAATGTGAAGGGTTGGAGGACTTTTGCGATGCTTTGCCGCTACATATATCACCAAGTCATGTGTAAGCTGTAACACGTGTTCTAATCGCACAGCATGCCACGTGTTCCAAAACGGCCATAAAAGTTACCCTTTCATTTTGCATTTTTTTCTGTTTTCTTTATAAGGAAAATGGATTTTTATCTTTTCATATCCTATTGAACAAAAGAAGACAAACAACCACCACGGATGGTCTAGTTGATGATGAATAACATGTTCGTATTTCAGATGATACATTTCGGTTTTGATTATTGATGCTAGTAGATCGCACGATAGTGGTTAGAAAAAAGCTAAACTATCTCTGTGAATCTTTCTCGTCACCAGAAAGGTGGCGACCTCTCGAAAAAGTAGACTGCATTAGCGAAGCCACTAGCTGGTCCCCATTTCAACTCATCCTTAATTCAATTCCTCTCATTCTAACTAGCATATGGGCACACACAAAGTGTGTGAAAAATTTTTTTATTTTTGTTTTTGAAATAGAAGGATAGAGGAAGAGAGGGATAGAGAATGAAGGAGTGGGAAATCTTTTTTTTTTTTTTAATTAGAGATATGTTAAGATTATATGTATGTAAGACTTTGAAAAAAAAAAAAGTAAAATTTGGTTGTGTGAAATTACATTTATGACCCATATTTCTTATTCATGTTCTATTTTAAGTTAAACTAGTAATTTTATAGGATTTTAGTTGACAATAAGTGTTTTATTAAGTAGTAGAGATTACGGATTAGTAAACGAGTCATTAGTGAATTAGTAAACACTTATATAGAATCAATACTTTTTTTACTCCGATTCCAAAAAATTTAAGTAAACAACTTCAACAGGAATTCAGTTCGAACTCATTCCCATTCCAACTATTTCTCAATTCAATTTCTCTCATTTTGATCACAAATTAGTAAACAAGCGATTAGGGTTCCTAAGTCCTTAACCATTCCCTTAATTATTATTTGTTTGGGCAACAAAGCCTTCCCTTAATTAAACTTATACTACACAAGTGAGACATGAAATATTGCATTACTATTTAATGGTACATACGGCTAGGCAAGCGAGGCGTAGCAATGGCCATCAAAGGGCAGGCCTTGGGCATCGTCATACCATAAACCTCCTGGGTATCAATATCTCCAGGCCTCAACCCTTCCGGCGGTGACCAATCAAAACAATGGAAAAGCCGAGCCAAAGCCATCAAAACCAGAGTCACTCCGAGCGGCGCGCCGGGGCACTTCCTCTTCCCGGCACTAAAAGGCAAGATCTTAAAATCGGCTCCGTGGCTAATCTCGACTCGGCTCCCGTCAACCAGACAATGCCTCTCGGGCCTAAACTCGTCCACGTTGTCCCATATCTTGGTGTTCCGGCCCAGCCCATGAGTGTTGATGAAGACACGTGTCTTGGCGGGTATGTAGTAACCGTTGATCCATGTGGCGCGAAGGGATTCGTGCGGGATGAGGAAGGGGCCCGCTGGGTGCATGCGAAAGGTTTCGCGTACAACGCAACGTAGGTAGTTAAGGTGGGGGAGGTCCGATTCGTTGACCATTCGATTTTGACCAACAACGGAATCGAGCTCTTCTTGAATCTTACGAAGTACACGTGGATGCTTGATCACCTCCGCCATTGCCCATTCGTTGGTCACGGCTGACGTGTCAGTGGCAGCGGCTATCATATCCTAACAAACCCAACAATACATTTTCATTTAAAAGTAAGGCAATAAAAAATATAAAAAAAATATCAATACGAAGTGTGCTATGATCAGTCACTCACTTGCACGAACAATTGCTAACTATGTGAGACCCATATTTGATCAGTAGGCATAAATTGCTTTGGCACGATTGATATTAACAAAATTCTTTCGACAATTTGTGAAATATTACCTGAATTAGAGCTTTGATTTCCACATCATCCATGTGTTGTTTCCCATCCTCACCAGGCAAAGACAATAAGACATCAACAAAGTCCATTTCTCCTCCATCTTGCTCTCCACTTCCCCTCCCATTCTCCTCATTTGCCCTCCTCCTATGTTCTTCAATAATCTTGGTGTGAAAATCATCCACTCTTTTCTCCACCTCCCTCATTTTCTTCTCACACCCATATGGGTCCACCCACCTCCAAATTGGCAAATAATCACCCAAATATATCACCCCCAAAAGCCAAAACAACTCATGGGTTATGTGCATGAACTCCAAGGCCTCTTGTGGGCCTGCTGACCCAGCACCAAAATATTGCTTCCCAAGCAACATCCTAGTCACATTGTTCATAGAAAACCCACCCAACACCTCTCTTAAGTTCACAGCCTTACCTGTCCGGGATGCGACCAAGACATCCCGAACGAGATGTTGGGCCTCTTCCGCCCGGTGCTTCGCGAACGACTCGAGCCGCTTCGTCGTCAACAAGTGCTCCATGCAAATCCGCCTCATTCGCTTCCATTGCGGGCCCAAAGGGGCGAGTGCCACGTCACCGCATCCATAGGCTAGATGAACAGCAGCTAGGGTTCTTGGCCTTGATGCAAAGACCTCATCTTGTTTAAGAAGTATTTCTCGGATTATATCTGGATCGTTGGTTGTGATTGCATCAATGCTCCCAAGTTTAAGGTATACCAAAGGCCCATACTTGTTGCACAGAGACGCCAGGTCCCTGTGGGGCAGTGCACCCAATTGAAGAAGATTGCCTAAGATGGGCCATCTTGGTGGGCCCGGAGGAAGAAGGTTTTTGGTCTTGGGTGCAAATCTGCATTTTAGCCATTGGTACATGATGCTGGTAAAAATAGATGCAAAAATAAAGGTTTTGAAATCCATCTAGGAAATTGAAATATGAAAAAAACTTGAGATTATAGTTTGTATATATATAAGGAAGGAATCAATGGGAAGGGAAAATGTTGGAGAACAAAATTTTTTAGGTCAAAGCATGCTCTTTACATGCATATATGTTGGTAGTAGATTAGAGGTAGAAAATAAGAGTGCCAAGAATATGAGCCTTTAAATTAGGTGAAAAATTAGGAGTTTAAGACTAATTAGGGAGTGTATCGGTAGCTTAAACTTTCTTGATGTGGAACACCTTTTTATATCTTTACAGGCATAATCACGCGTGATGAAATTTTAAGCGTAACATGTGAAAATTTTTAATTGGGCAATTTGGAGAATGTGTGGTCATTGATCTTCACACGTGAGGTAATATGTTCCGATACGATAAAACATAACTCATAAACCTTTGCATGTTTCTTAACTTTCCGATGCCTGATTATTCTTTCATTTAGGTACGAGGTCGGCAAACTTATGTCTTAAGGTCGTCAAGCACGAGTATATTTTAATGTTTTGTTTTTGGTTTAACTCTGCAAGTGAGTTGGTTATCAAACAAAAGCACTCATCCTACCCTACCAATTGTTTGTGTATTGACGGTAATATAATGTGATATGCCGATGTGTTACGAATTCACTTACGAACTTACTACTTATACTCTAAAATTATAACCATAATGAATATACACCACATGACATGTTGAGTGAAGTATATTTAAACTAATTTGTGCATGTACAAGTTTTAAGTCAAGTGATCTTGTACATTTTGTAACTACGTGAACTTGTTTGGAAATACTTTTAAAATGATTGAAAGCGATTTTATATATTAAAAAATGTTATTGGGTTCGAAAAAAACTTGAAATAGTTTCTGCAAGAAACACAGGTGCCTCTTGCAAGAATCACTTCAAGTGCTTTTATAGGATTCATGTGCAGTTTTCTAAGGATTAGTTTCAAAAATATTTTCACTTAAAACGCTTATCAAAACACAGTTTATGTGAGATTGATTATGAATATATTAGGTTGATTGATTATGAATATATTAGGTGTTTATAATCACATAAAATTGTTTATCAAAAAACAATTTATAGAGATTGCTTATGAAGATATTAGTGTAATATCATTATACCATGATCTAAAGTGACTTCAATGTGTAATAAAAAAAACATTTGTAACAAAATCGCTTATGACGAAAGCTTTCTATCCCAACCGAGCCCAAAAATTATACCAAAAAGAATAAAAATATTGATATTCACACATCTATTTTTATTTTTCACACATTTTTATTAATTTTTTTTCTTAATATTTTTTAATTAATTATATCCGACGATCAAAAACTTAAAAAGGGTGTCAGAAGAAATGAGGGAGGAATAATACCCTACCCTTCTCGTATTTTAAGGCCCAACGGAGTCGTTTGACGTCGCCTGGCCCGTCTATCGGAGTGAACTCTCCACCTCCACTCCCCAACTTAACCTCAAAAATAAAAACTCCTTCCCCTCATTTTCTCAGTAAAAATTTTCCCGAGAAAATTAGCAAGCAAAAATGGATTCCGACACTCGACGGAAAATCGAAGAAACGGTTTTGTGTATACTGAAGAAAACGAATTTGGAGGAGATGACCGAGTTCAAAGTCCGAGAGATGACCTCGGAGCAACTCGGAATTGAGCTATCGGATACTGAGCACAAGAGCTTCGTGAGAAGCGTGATCGAAAGTTTTCTGCTGTCGGGCACGGAGCCCGAGGGGAACGCTGGGCAGGAGCCCATGGAGACGAATGTGCGAGAAGAGCAGGGCGCGAGGTTGAAGAAGGAGGCGAGTGAGGACGGAGGCCGTCTAATTTGTAAGGTAAAACCCCAATTTTGTGTTTGGTTACTGAGAAAGTGTGGGAAAAGTTTGAATCTTTATTAATCAGTTTTAGCATTTAGGTGAGTTTTTAGTAAAGTGAGGTGAATGTAACTATTTGGCTTAGTTGGTTTGAGGATTTACAGATTTTTACTCTCAAATGTGAATAAAGGATTGAAATTTAGTGTTTTCTTGCTAAGTATTTGATTCATTTCTCTTTTTACGAGGCGATATTCTAAACTACTGTAATTGGATAGGGTTTAGGGTTTCATACGCTACTGTGATCTACTGGCCTAACCGCCATCTACATTTGATTCATCTTTGAAAACATTTGTTTAGGTTTAGAACACTAGATTCTGGTAAGGTTTATGGAAATATGCAGGCCAACAGGCAAGAGAAATTGAGTTTTTGAAGTGGATACATTCATTGGATTAAGAAAATTCTGAGCTGTGTGTTTTCTTGTATTTTCATCATATCGTGTGTCTGTCTGTTTCGATTTCTGATCTGAAGTTTTTTGTTTGATTAGCTGTCCAGCAGGAGAAGTGTGGTGATTAACGATTTCAAAGAGAAAACTTACGTGTCAATTAGAGATTTTTATCAAAAAGATGGAAAGCAAATTTGTACTCCCAGAGGTGACCACCTTTCAGCCAAATGTTGCATCTAATTTAGCTACGGTGAAACTGCTTTACATTTCTTCCCTGGTCTCATTGAAACAATTCATCATTTGCATCGGTCTCCTTGTTATTGATAAGAGATAAGTTTTTTAAATATTGAGTTGATTATTGTCCTAACGATATCCGCTGCTTTGCTAGATCGCACACACGTATGTTCTGTGTTGAAATACAGTCTCCATACTTCTCTCTGCACGTCACAAATGTGCACACATTGCAAAAGCTATTAGATTTGGGTTGGAATTAATGCCTTGTATCTTTTTCTATTTCCAATGCTTTTGTTTCGGTAGTGAGTATTGATAATATCTTTTCAGGAATTAGTTTGCCGGTCGAACAATGGGCAACGTTCAAAAAGAGCGTCCCTGCAATAGAGGAAGCCATTAAAAAGTTGGAGTCAAAGTTAAGGTGAGAGTAAACTGTTGATAAATTGAATAAATGTTCAATCCATTTTAATAAACCTCTTCTCATATTCTGCTTTATCTTGAGCAAGTGGATTTGTAGGCTTCTCCTCGATAACTATTTTGTCGCTGTAAAATGGTTGACTGACTTCTAATAATACAAATGCAGATCTGAACTTGAGAGTAAACAAACTGAACATGGTAAGCAAGCTGAAGACACGTCTAATTCATTGAATGATATTGCTCCTCAAGAACTTGCTACCGTTGAGACTAGCCGTTATGATGGGAAAAACTACCCATTCTGGGCGCAACAGATGGAGCTTCTGTTGAAGCAATTAAAGGTTAAATACGTGCTATTTCAGCAACGCCCAAGCAGTATGCTTGGCCTGGAAGCAACTAGTGAAGAAATTGCTCATTCAAAGGCTGCTGAACAGAAATGGGTGAATGATGATTTAGTTTGTCGTCGCAGAATCTTAAATGCTCTATCTGATGATCTGTTTTATCTTTACTCAAAGAAAACTATGACTGCTAGAGAACTGTGGGAAGATCTAAAACATATGTATCTCTATGAGCAGTTTGGAACAGATAGAACTCTAGTTAAAAAGTACATCGAATTTGAGATGCTCGAAGGAAGACCAATTTTGGAGCAAGTTATGGAATTTAATAGAATTGCCGATTCCATTGTAAATTCTGGGATGACAATTGAGGAAAAATTTCATGTCAGTGTCATCATCTCCAAACTCCCCCCATCTTGGAAGGATGTGTACATTAAGTTGTTGCGCGAGGAGCATCTACAGTTTTCAATGCTAATGGATCGTTTGAAGGTTGAAGAAGAGTCACGTATTGGGGGTAACCAGACAGTATCGTTTAACCTGACGAGCGATCTGCCAGGGAAATCTGTACCGAGGCGAAGAGATATGAAGCCAAGAAGCATGCAATGGAAGAGGCAAGAAGTGGAGACAAATGGCAGAGTTATTTGCCATGCTTGTGGCAAGAAAGGGCACATCGCTCTGCATTGTCGTTATCGTAGCAGGAAGGATGACTGGGAAGCTAATGATAAGAAGCACGAGGGAAATGGATCTTTGCCTGCAAGTGGAGGTCAACATGTCTGAGAAGGCAGATGACAGGAAGCTAATGAGAAGCAGCACGATGGAAATGGATCTATGCCTACAAGCGGAGTTCAACGTGTCTGAGAGGGCAGCGGAATGGCTAGTTTCCGTAGAGCTCCCCTCCCATCTCATTTTCACTAACAGCATTATTACCTTTTATAGAGTTGGCAAGTACAAAGTGTGTTATAGTTCCAAAGACGGTCCTTGAGGGTCATGTTCTGTTGAATTTGATACAAGGTCCAAGTCTGCTTTAGAGTACATGTTCTTCTTGTGAGCAAGGCTTTGAAATCGATCATAATTTTGTACCGCACGTTCTTTCTGTTTCAAATTATTGTAAATTCATACCATTCTTTCCGAAAAGATTGTCGATTCAGGTGCTTGAGATTCATCTAGGTTTGACGTTGTAAATTCTTATATACGCATTGTTTACACAGTGCTTCTCTAACAAGAACTCGTCTTCTGTCATGCGAGTGATTTTTACGACACTGAAGGGAAAAGAAAGTAAAAGTTGGAGCTTCAACGATAAAAACGGAGTTACGAAAATGTACAGAGGGTTTGAGATGCATCCAATCAGGCGAAAAATACCGACCTTCCTGAATGTATTTATTCTTCATGCGAAAATTTCTAAGATTACAACACAAACAAAACATGGCTTGAGGATGAAAACAGCACAGGCTCAAGCCAACTGATATGCGACAGACGGAGAAAATCAACACAGAAAACAATCCAGCTGATCTGCTGACGCCGCCATCGTGGCCTAAAAACCGACCAATCTGCCGATGCCTGCCATCTTGGCCAGCATCTGTTATAACCAATACAAGAAAAAGTAACATTCAGTCTATAATGGCAAGTTCAGGACACCAATCATGGTGGTATAAATGGATAAATTTGCAACGACAGAAGCCCATGGATTATTTTACAGTTCTCAAGAGATCCTTCGGGTGGTACCTGCGAAAAGGAAAATTCTCGGATCACACTTTTCGTGCCAAGTTTGACTTAAGCGAAGTCCAACAATTCTTGTTCTCTTTGCATATCCTCAGTAACATGCGTTCGCTTCAATTTCAGCTTCTTGATCATATCCTCAGTTTTGTCGTAGTTTACAGTCATACTAGGTTCTCCAGATTTTGCAAGAAACTTGATCTCTATATCTCTACTGAGAGTAGATAACGTTTTAATAAGAAAAATCAGTATTTACCATTAGACTAAATTTTCGAGAGCTCTATTTTAATTCCAAACTAACCTGCTTCCCAGGATGAACACGCCACTCTTTTTGATAATCCCGCCATCTAAAGACAGTGCTCCATGATTTATGCATGGGAGAGCGAGAAGCATCTCCGCTCTGGTTCTGTATATTTGGAGGCGAGAAAGGAGACTATAGAATAGTGTCTCTCTGAGACCATGCCCGCTGCTGGTGACATTAACTAAGTTATTGCTATCCAGATTGATCGCGTTCACTGCATAATCAAGAAAGCCATGCGGACACTCCCCATTTGGTAGCTGTGGTTTGGGAATATCAAGCTTCCTTTGTGGATCATCAGCTACAAACCCCCCAACATATAGACTAAAAACAAACAACCGTTACAATGTAATAAGTAATAGCACTTGAAAGAAAACATTGAACAGGTTTCTTGCCTCAATTCATCTAGACATATGACCAGAAAGCGCCCTTTTATGCTCTTCCCAATAGAAGCTCCTAGACCATGTATGCCGGCGCTGGTGAGTATTGTCGCATCCCCATCATACTTCTCTAGAACCATAACAGCTTCATTTGTCCTGCATACAATCGCTAGCATAGTTTGCTGTCCCAAGTATTCCGAGAGAAGCCTAATTCAAAGTTACAGGGAAGTACATGTCAGACAACATTGTAAATAATGGCCTTTATGGGTCAAAGATTAATCATAAAAGCAGGCCATTGGTCTTCAAGAGGCCTCATATGCACCCCACATACTAGCTTGGCATATAATTTGTCTGTTCTAAACAAGACCAGTGGTTTTTTTTAAATCAGGAATTATATGCAGGAATGAACTCAACAACACAACCTTCTAACCAAGAAATGTGATCTGAAGAAATTTTGACTTCATCCAGTGAAAACATTCTGTTTAATAATATTACTGAGAAAGGAATGGATAATAAGAAAATGTGACCTGCTAAGGTTGTCATCGTCAACTCTGCCAAGTGTGGCAACAATGCCAACAATACCCAGCACATCCTTTGTCAGAGCCAAATTCAAAGCCTGAGTTGCATGCTGTGATTCAAACAGTTTCAGCCTGCACAATAAACCAGCCGCAGATTTTTCGTGCCGCAATATTTGGTCATCCTCCTCAGCAGTAGGACCATTTTCATTTGTTATTACAATACCATTGGCAGATTGATGCTTAGCAAGACTACCTGGAAAGACATGCGAGGTTTGGTAGTGTCATATCTAGAACATACTAGACATAAAAGAACAGAAGAATTTTGTACAACACAGTAATGTCCTGCTAGTTTAACATACTCAACATGACAAAACTTTAACCTTTTGATAAAATAAGAAAGAGTAGCCCTACCCGAAAGCATCATACTTCAAAATGCGATTTGGTTGGATAAGTAGAAGGGGAGGGAGGGGGTTTACCTTGCGATTCCAGTATAGATTCACCTAAGCGGTTTATCTCATTCTGAAGGAACTTAATATTATCCTCGTGCCGCTTGATTTCTAGATTATTCTGAAGAATTTGTTAAAATGAACTAATGAGAAATTGGTTGTTATCGATTCAGCATATAGCAGAAGTTTGCAGCAATCATTTGTGCTTTTCCAACAACGACTCAAACTCGAGGATCAGTAAATAAGTACACAACTTTACATATCACAAATTGACATTATAATGCCACATTCTTACACCATGCTACCTTCCAAACTTGGCATTTGTTTAATACATTTACCATCTAGCGGTCATACATGCAACCAAAACGAGAGAATATCATATCTGACCATATTTGACCGTTAGATGGTGAATGTATATATTTACCCTTCCATTTGCTGACCATATAGCAGACGTTTGCAGCAATCACTTGTGCATATCCAACGACGACTCAAACTCAAGGATCAGTAACACATATATATATATACACACAACTTTACATATCACAAATTCACATTACATTCCCACATTCTTACACCATGCTACCTTTCGGATTTGGCATTTATTTAATACATTTACCATTTAATGGTCATATATGCAACCAAAAGGAGAGAATATCATATCTGACCATATCTGACCGTTAGACGGTGAATGTATATATTCACCTTCCATTTGCTCACCAATATTCCTTTTTTTTTTTATATATTTAAACCAAAACCCATGCAATCAGGCTTACATTCCAAATTTTATCGGGGCTTACATACCATGTAAATAAATCACCTTACATTATCAAAGGATAACAAATCAGTCAAATAAACGAATCCCAAACAAAAATGCTACTTTTACTATCTAGTTGTAGCAGGTCTCTGATAAAGATGGGACCCACATATGCGTTGTCGGACCCTCTCTCTATCAGAATTAAGCACGACTCAATCCCAAATTTTGGAACTCTATGCACATTTATGTTTCAAACTGGCAAATACCCAGAAAATTTTTCTACCACGAGACCAATTTACAGCTTAAAATTATAGTGAAACATTCTGGGCAGTTAAAAATCCAAAAACTACAGCTTTTACTCCAGTTCACAGTAAAAATTGAGAGTTTGTGCTGCAGCAAGCTTCAGGAGTGAAAGCAGTGGAGAAATGGGAAATAAGAGAAACAAAATGTGGCAGAGATATAACCTGGTGGTTCGGTTTATACATGCCGGCGGCGATGAAGCTGACTGAGAGCGGCTCTCTGATTTTTGCTCTCTGGAGGTCTCGGGCAGATCAAAGCAGAATGGCAGCTTTGTGGGTTTTCCGAAACTTGGTTGGCATTTTTCTTAAAACACCTGCCATATAAGTACGTTGTGAATTTTGTACTTCCTCCCACAATTCATACATTTTCAAATTTCCTTCAACATTTGGCTTTTTTTTTTTTTTAATTTTATGTATTTTTAGGAGAACAGTTTAGGGTTTGGAGCTTTCAAAAAATAGTTTAGGGTTTAGTATTCATGAAAAGCTACGGATACAATATTCGTACAGACGAAGAGCATTATTTTAAAGAAAAAATACTTGCAGACAAAGGTCTGTAAGCAATGCTAACAGGGACAGACTGATCCAGAAAAATCAATGCATCCATTGCTGCAAGATCATGTCAGAGATTAAAACGCTCAAATCAATGAAATTAGTGACACAGGATCGTCGCACGATATACGATGAACGAATATGATTGCAGGATCTTATAATCCTCACAGAGAGGATCCTGGGAATTTGGTGATCATTAGAGCTTCGAACAAGTATCATTTATTAACTTTCGAGTTTTGATGGAGTTTAAATAATATCGTTTGTTAAAAAATAAAAAATAAAAAAAATCTCCAAATATAAGTTTATTTTCTCCTTTAATCATGTCATAACTAATTGCAACATTTGTCTCCGAATGTCTAGGGGCCCTACCCTATGATTGGGCCAGGCTTTTATTCAATCATTTTCAAAATGGATAGGGCCTGGACTCTGCATATTGAGCCATGGGTCGATTGAACATTCTCTTCATGGTTCTAAAGAGAGTAATTTCTATGGTTCGTGTTTACTATCATCGTGATGTTTGTTATAATGATGTTTCGACCTATCAATAATACAATATTATAGTATCGCACGAGATTATAGCATTGCACGAGATGCTAATGTGTCCTCCTTATGAGAGAACTCAAAATGCGTATTTTTTTTGGGTCAATTTTATCCTTGTTTAGTTTGAAAGAAAATTGGTATTTTCCATTTTGTATTTAAGTGTTTAGTATTTTAAGTATAATTAGCATCAAGATAATGATATTATTTTTTTTCAGACTGTGGAAACAGTTCAAACACGCTAACGGGGCAGATAAGTTAAAGAATGAAACTTGCTTGTCAAGTATCAACTTAGTTGCCAAGTAAAAGTCTGGATGAAATCAGTCAAAATCTTCAATATCTCTGAAATATTTGGTAGCCCTATCTTTATTCCTCTCAACCACTTGCCTTGTGGACCAGTGGTAGGCATGCATGCATTTGACTATTGAATTCAAGCTACAAGTTCTCATGTGAATATAATCTACGACTATCCAGGACACATATGATGGAATTGAGAAGGTTCCATTTGTTTTTATCAAGTGGAACCACATAATTAGGAGGAAAACTTGCCATTTACGGGTTTCTAAAACTCCTAATCGTTCTTTCTACTCACGTGATGATAGCGAGAAGATCAGTGCAACTTCGACATTATGAGATCGATAGACAGATGAGTTGTATGAATCGTTTCACGTAAGTTTTCACAAGTTCATGCAACTCCCCTCCCTTGGTCCTCATCGCGTGATGTGAGTGATGCATAAGGGAGTTGCATACATAAGCCTGTCCCTACACAAACTACTTCAAACAAATGTACTTAACGGACAAGGATCCTCTCCTGAGCAATTCCCTAGGGATCCTATGGATCCCGCAATCTTGTCTGTTCATCGTATATTGTGTGGTCAGAAATCATTTAAAATTTAAATTTTAAAATTCAAATATGAATAGTACCTAACGAAAACTGACCGCACGATATAAAATAAACGGACAAGATTGCGGGATTCCTAAGATCCCTAGGGAATTGCTCAGGAGAGGATCCTGGTCCGTACTTAACCAGCATTCATGCACCACGATCTTCACATGACATGCACTGCCTTTTAAATGCTCTAAAAATGCTACAAGCACACCACAAACGACATGCTTTTGTTATTTTGGAACTTTCAATATATTTGAGGAAGCCAGAGAAGCAAGTTCCAAAATTGGGGCAAACACTGCAAAGGCCGAAGAGAAGTGGGCACAAAAGGAAATGCCTAAACAACACATGCGCAGTTGGACTTCTTGTCAATCCTCCACTTTTGGTCACATGTTTTTAGTATTTTTGCATTTTGCAACCATACATATTACATATCTATATACTATTATATATAAAGCAGAAGAAGTTAGGCACATAAAAGCACAAAAGTGGGCAGGGGTGTGTGTGTTTTAGGGTTCATATTTATCCAAATTCCTAACCCTAACCATGGAAGATGGCATTTGATATTATAGTAAAAAGGAAACACACTTTAATATCTGTTTTGAAAAAAAATTCTCGTTAACTTTGCTATTATCATTGCACCTACCTGTTAGATTATTGTTTGAGTGTTTCTCATTAAAATTATTTGTTCTCGACGTGATTAGTCAGAATGTTTGAAAATTCTATTGTGCTCCTGCGTATGACATTGCACCAAAGCAATGCATGATTGAATGTGCAATTTAGAAGCGAAACAACAAGAATGCAACGACTAAACATTCAAAATAGATATTACAAACCAGTAGCACCCTAAAAATTCCCCTTGATGTCATTGTCATTGCTTTTTCTCTAAGTTTTCTTTTAACTCTTCACAGTCCTTGGCCTTTTTTTCAGCACACATGGAGCACCTGCCTTCGGTCAAAATCTGCTTCACTGGTCACTGGTCAAGCCAATTGTAGAACTCAGGTACCATTTGGACCACATTCATCTATTACTCTTGAGACCCAAGTGACTTTTATTCTTTTACTCTTATAAGTTTTTTTGCTAATTATGTATGCTGATTTATTGGATCCTTGGCCTCAATTTTCTTGCTTTTTTTCTCCTCAAATTCTTTTATGGTAAAGGTTTAGACACCTCAATTTCTTTATAGAAAGTAGAAGTGTGAAAAGGGATGGCCTAAATTTGGAGGACAGGATCTATTCCTTTGCTCCTTTTCATGTGCATTTATGCAAATCTCACTTCGACTTGCCGATATCAGAATTCTATTATGTTTCGATGTATTTAGCAGTTAAAATATTTGATATTGGATTCTAAATCAAAGATTGAACAATAAAAAATCTCAGTGTATAATAAACTCGGAAGCATACTAAAAAATCTCCACCAAGGAAAGTGAGAAAAAGATTGAGAAACTAAATCTAAGAATGTTCCTACATTTGGTTAATGCAGTTGCATCCAGTAGTTTCAATTTGCGAAATACAAATCAAAACGACTGTCATCACAACAACCAAACTAAAAGCGGCTTCAGCGCCAGCTAGGGTTCATCTCTGCACCGGAAATTCTGTGTTCAAATTGGCGCACCATTCTCCCAACGTTGGTCGGCCAGATATTAGAAACTATATAAATAAAAAGCTGAAAATAAGTACAAAAATAGTTGTGAGTAGCTGCCCCTTGTGAAAAGCATGTTGAGGTAACAGTTACCTACCCGTGACAGCAGTTACAATTGCAGGAACAAACAAGGAAAATGTGGACAAGGGGATGTGAAGGCACCACACCAATGCATGTTACCTCAATTATGCGACAAGCACGAAACATCTGCATACCAAAAGTCGACCTCTGCTCTTGGGAGGAGGATTGTCTACCCTCCAAGTTTCGGTGCCCTTCCATACCCTCCTGTTTTGTGTGGTCACGGTTAAGCCACGTTAATATTTTATATTATTTTTTTTATAGAAATAATAAGACAAAAATGAATAATAATATAAAATATTAACGTGATTTAACCGTGACTACACAATCAGGAGGGCATGGGAGGGCACGGGAACTTAGAGGGTAGACAATCCTCCTCCCTGAACCACAAGACTTCACACGTATTGTCACATCCCCACCAATTGACATTTCTAATTTTACGACTTTTTTCTCCATATTGAAAAATTGGCAATTACATGGCACAAGGGAACATGCGTCTATTTTTTTCCTGTTGAAAAATCTCCAAAAATCAACTCCGCCCTCGAGGAAATGGCAAAAATCTGAGGTGTAACCGGATGTTATCTCCCTTTCTGTATCTCTCAAATCAGGTCATTTGTCAACTCATCACGAGATGTGAGAGATACTGAGAGGGGTAGATAATGGGTTACAATCCCCACAGAGATAACAAGGGAACCCAAAATTTGGAAGAAGAGCAAGAAGAAAATAAACTAGTTCTCTAAGTTTCAGATGCATTCAACCAAGAATTTTATGGAGAAGCCCTCAAAACTTTCTATCACAGTTATTCATCGTATCGATTCACAATTCAAAAAGGAAAGGAAAATGAAGGAGAGGGCCAAAAGCCTTAACAAGATAACTGAATTCAAATGTCGAATCTGGGTAAGAATTCATCTAATCCTCCTCTGACAGCAGAAGAATATACTACATATACATATATATATATATATATCGACGATATCATCCAGTAAAAAAAACAGTAGTGATGATGGATGGTAAGAATGCAAATGGAGAGAAAACAATGAAACTAAGATTTAAGAAACAAAATAAATCTATCAGTTTCTTCATAACCAACAATTTGAGGGTCGGTTATACTTACAAATGTAATCGACCTTGCAAGAATACTTATCACAAACTATGTATGCTATAAAATAATCAGAGAGATTTTGCCCCCCTACTTGGTCATTAAGTAGTTATTTGTCTCTAATTCTAGCTAGCAATGCTATTCCTTTTTGGATTCCCTGCTGTATATCAAAAACATCTGAAGAAACTTTTAAATGGGTTCTTTCAGTACTATACCTATGGACTATGTTAACTGCATTGCTCGCACTACCCGACTGATGACAATGAATGTAACGAGTTGGATTCCCGGGAAAATGCTGCAATCAACTTCTCCTTCGTCAACCGCTCCGATCCTTGAGACTTGACAACAAATGTATGGAGCACAGTGTCGTCTGCTGATGCAAGTTTTGACTCAACAACCGTGATCTGTGCCTCTTTGAATGCTTCGATGACTCTTGATGCAGGGTGTGAATCCAAAGGGCAGCTCACCCTTACAATAACCTCGTCATTAACAGCTTGAATATCCACATCAGGTGCCTGGTTCTGAATTTCCATACCTGAGCTAGCCCCCAAGGCCGAAGCATCTCTTGAAGTGCCCCCGAGATTCTCCCTCTCTGCTTCCATGACTTTAAGCTTCGCCTGGAGCTCGTTGATGTAAGCAATGGCATCTCCCAACAAGGATGCTTTGT